AATCATTTTTAATGATTAAGAGCGAATTATTCAGATGGTTGATTTTCATCTTGAATAATCAGTTAATCTCGGGTTATCCTTAAAAATACCATGTGTAGTATGCTCCAGGAACTTCCCATTGGTGGGTATCAGTGCCATCAATATGCACAAAATCTCCAATTGTATGCTTCCAACAGGTTATCCTGAATGCACTAAGGATAGTCCTTCTTCAGAAACTTCCCATTGATTGGCATCATGATTTTATCACCGTCTTGGATGATCAAGCAATATGCACTGTTTGAGTAGACTGTTTCTACTACAAACAGTCCTTCTCATTTGGACTGAAACTTGTCTTTCTTCTTGGAATTGAGTATCATTGGTCGTAGAACGGCAATCACCAAAACTACATCCTTAAAGACCCGCTGTCAGACCTTTTTGTCGAAGGCCCTGGAGATTCTAGCTTGGTATAACTCAATTTGTTGTTGAGCTTCCAAGAGTTTCTCATCTAACATCTCAAGTTCTTCGAGACATTTCTGATGTTGTTTTTTCTTCATCATCCCTATTGAGAGAGCAACACGAAGAGATGGAATTTGGATCTCAAAGGGAAGGACGGCTTCACATCCATACACCAAGGAATATAGAGTTTCTCCGGTCGGTTTGCGGACTGTGGTGCGATAAGCCTAGAGAGCTTCCCCCAGTTTATCATCCTAATCTCGCTTGTTGGTTATTATGAACTTTGACAAGATTTTGATAATGGCCTTGTTGAAGGATTCTGCTAAACCAATTGCAATGGGATTGTAGGATGTTGATGAGACGTTTTGAATTCTAAACTTTCTATAGAATTTGATGGAGGAGTTGCTGACAAACTGAGGGGCGTTGTTATGCACGATTTGCCTTGGAATACCATATCAGTAAATAATATGGTGTTTGATTAATTTAATAACATCGCTTATTTTTACCTCTTTGAGTGGAATTGCTTCAGTACACTTGGAGAAGTAATCGGTGATTGCTAAGATAAAGCGGTCACCTTTAGCTAATGGATGGAAAATATGACCCACGATGTCCATTCCACGGGTTTTGAATGACCATGATGTGGCCAAACTGTGCAAGTGCTCTAGATGTTGATGCATGTAATTAGCATGTATTTGATATGCGTGGCACCATCGAGCATATGCGACCACGTCCTTGACCATGGTCAACCAATAATAACCCATTCTTCTAAGGCGATCATATAACTTGGGACTAGGCTGGTGTGTACTATAGGGTCCGTCATGCACTTCTTTGAGGGCCTCTTCTGCCTCTTTGGTTGAAAGACAGCGGAGTAGCAATCCATCATATGCATGGCGATAGAGCGTTTGAGTTGCTGCATTGTAGTAGAATGGGAAGAAATCCTTTTTTTTTATGTCTTCCAGTAATATACCATGCAAAACATAATCAATGATAGGGAAATGTTAGTCTCAAGATTTGAGTTCGATTATGGTTACATGCACCTCTTTGATGTCTAGAGCAAAGTCAGGTATAAAGAGTTTGTGAGTTCTTACTATAACTAACTGTTATGTCTCGGTAGACTGAGCCAAGGAGACTGCTAAGGCCGCCAGTGCATCTGCGTAATCATTCTGGAGGCACGAGATATACTCGATGAATAATTCTTCGAATGAGTCTGCAAGCTCAACATCTGCTTGGTGGTACGGGACCAAGTCTTGGTTCCTGACTTCGTACTCCTCTCGAACTTGGTTAACTATCAATTAAGAACCGCCAAAAGCTTCAAGGTACTCCACCTCCAGCTCTTTGGAAAAACTGAGTCCAATGAGTAGTGCATTATATTCAGCCACGTTGTTGGAGCATAGCTCAATAAGAGAATAGGCTCGAGGTATCACATGCTTCTCCGGGGAAACTAGGATAACTTCAACTCCCGAAGAGATTTTTGAACATCCAGGAGAGCTTGCCATGTTGGTTGCTCGGGAAGCACCATCAAAGTATAATCGTCACACCTGCTGATGAGTGGTTGTGTTGACTTTGTGAGTTTCATCTGGCAAATCTTCATATAACTCGGCTTCATCCCTTGTAAGATTAATTGCTAGAAGATCACAAGTAGTCCATCCTTTTACCGACTTTTGTTGTTTGAAGTGGAGGTCGTATTGTGACAAAAGTAATGCCCATCTCGCTAGCCGCCAGTTCAATGTAGCTGATTGCGTCATGAATACTCAGATTGGGTTGACGCTAGAAATGACATAAATTATCTGCCCAACCAAGTAGTGTCGCATCTTCTGGATTACGAATACCAGGGCAAGACAATCCTTTTAAAACATCGGATATCGAGATTTGGTGCCTACCAAAGTTCGGCTCAAATAGTATACCGCCTGCTCGTGATTGTTGTCATCATCTTGTGTGAGCAAAGCACTCAACGAGTGATTCGTCACCTTATCGTAGATCAAAAATGGTCTCCTAGACTTCGGTGTGATGAGAGCAGGAGGATTCGACAAATATTCTTTGATATCCTCGAATGTTTTTTGGCAGGCTTTGTCCCAAATGAATGACACGCCTTTCTTAGTGAGCTTGGAAAATGGTTAATACTTTCCGGAGAGATTTGAGATGAATCAGCAGATGTAGGCTAACCATCCTTGCAACCCTCTGAGTTCTGTGAGATTTCTTAGAGGCTACAATTCATTGATCGCTTTCACTTTTCAGGATCAATATGGATATCTTTTATGGTGACGACAAATCTGAGGAACTTACCACTGGACATTCTCGGGAAAGACTTGGTAGGGTTCATCTTCAATTGGTGATTTCGCATGAGATCAAACATCATTTTCAAATCTTTAATGTGGTCATTCTTGCTGTGGCTTTTCACGACCAAGTCATCAACGTAGAACTCGACGATTTTTCAGAGATGCTCATGGAAAATCTTCGTCATGGCTTGGTAGTATGTAGCATCCGCATTCTTTAGGCCGAAGTGCATGACTGTGTAGAAGAAGATGCCGAGTGGCATGCTAAACGAGGTGTGTTTCTCATTGTTCGGATAAATCTTAATTTGGTTGTACCCTAAGAATCCATCCATGAAGGACATTCTCTCAAACCCATACGTGTTGTCGATGATAACGTTCGTAATAGGAAGAGGGAAGTCGTCTTTTGGGAAAACGATATTCAGATCTCTAAAATCGATGCAGATTCTGATTTTCCCATTCTTTTTAAGGACCGAAACAATATTCACCACCCAATATGGATGTTGCTCCTCCCTGATGAAGCCTGAGTCGATTAGCTTATTGACTTCATCTTCGATCGCCTCCAAAATCTATGGGTGAAACTATCTTTATTGTTGCATGACAGGACATCCAGTTTGATGTTAAGGTTGTGCATTACCACATTTGGGTCGAGTCGTGGCATGTCTTCATAGTTTCATGCAAAAACATCGATGTACTCCCTGATTAGGGCGATCAACCTCTTCTTTTCTTCTGGTGGGAGGCTTTCACTGATGAATATGGGCTTTGGATTTGCTTCATCGCCCATGTTGATTTGAGCCACCTTATCCTTAGTAGGTGGTTCTCTTTGCTCGAATCTATAACTATACTGGATGTTCATGTGATGGATCAAAGGATCTTCCTAGGTTGGCAATTGATCGTGTTCTTCCGTTATGGTAGGATCGACAGTAGCCATGTTTGACATTAAGCCTTTGAACATCTCCCTAAGGTTAACATCAGAATCCTATTCTGAAGAATCCAACGAATGTCCATCCCTGTTCGGATTGGACAATTGATTTTTAACCTGCCAACAACATTCGTTAGAGGACGAAGAAATATAGCCTAGACATCTTCTATGTCCGTAATAATCGTCAGGCTTCATTCTGCCTAGTGGGATCGACAGTAGCCATGTTTGACATTAAGCCTTTGAACATCTCCCTAAGGTTAACATCAGAATCCTATTCTGAAGAATCCAACGAATGTCCATCCCTGTTCGGATTGGACAGTCAGGCTTCAACCTGCCAACAACATTCGTTAGAGGACGAAGAAATATAGCCTAGACATCTTCTATGTCCGTAATAATCGTCAGGCTTCCTTTTTGGTACATAGGAAGACCTAGGTGGAACTCGAGGACCTTGACCAAGGCAAAGACCTTCCTCGAGCATGAAGTTGTATTCCCATTTCTTCATGTAATCCTATGCTTGTGGACTATATCTGAATAAATGGTGACCACGTTTTTCATCATCACTGTCATTCTTCAAGAAAGGATTTCATGGTGGACACAACTCTCCTTTATAGAAGACTATCTCTTTTCCACCCCCAGCCTTGGTAAGAAGGACAAGAGTTATTCCGAAGATGTCTTGGACACGCTTCTTTGTCATGCAAGAAGATAGAAGCAACATATGTATATTAGGGTTATTATACAGCCCCTGCATTACATAATCAAGACAAGCCGAGTACTCTAAATCGTCATTTATTACATAATCGGCATGTTGCCAGTTATAATTTCTGTCCAACGATTCTCCACCGTCAAATTCTATTACAAAGGGTTCAATGTCGTTTAATACAAGACCTTCATTGTAATCGAGCTCGGCTTCAGTATTAGCTTCTTCACTGCTGTCCGTGCCCTTGGCTGATAGTTTAGTATTGGATTCAGCACTATATAGAAGGGAGGCAGTAAAATAATTTTCCAACCTCTTAAATAGTTGTTGATCAATGACCACCATCTTGACCTCATTATTTATATCCATATATTTCAGACACTGATGGAGTGTAGAAGGTACTGTAATATTACTATGGATCCAGGGTTGACCCAATAGTAAGTTATAGGAGTTCTCTACATCAACCATGTAACACGTGACTTCAGACTTCAAATCTCCAAGCTGGCACTTCACTCGGATTTTACCTAGTGGCTTGGATCCACTAGTGTTAAATCTGTAGATAACAGTGCCTGTGGATGCCAACTTGCTCGCAAGAATTCTGAGATGATATATCAATCGGAGTGACATGACGCTGACCGAGGAACCCTAATCGACTTGGATCCACTTGACAATGCTTAAGACGATGTCTTCAGTGAAATACAGTGGCCTGTCATGCTCTGACTTCTTCACTTACATGTCCTCCCGAGTAAAGGTGATGCAAGGGAACTATTTAGCCGTCAGATTGTAGTGTTGAACTGATGGTTTCGGCTCTTGATGTCTCCTTCGAGTTCTTCACTTGCATGTCCTCCCGAGTAAAGGTGATGCAAGGGAACTGTTTAGTCGCCAGATTTTAGTGTTGAACTGATGGTTCCGGCTCTTCAGGGGCTTGCTTAATCTGAGTACGAAAAATATCAGAATCAGCCAAAGCTTCTTGCGAAGCCTCTCTGGTGTCTTTGAAAAGACGCAACAACTCATATAGAGTGATTCTCATTGGGATATTGGCTAGTTGAGCCATAACATCGAAGAGGTATAGAGTGTTTGATCTCTCCGGTATGTCTCTTCCAATCAGATGATTGAAACGAGACTACTTTGGATTTCGAACCTTATTGTGTTAGGACTTGTCAGTCAGTTTAGGGGGAGCTGAAACCACCTCCAGCTCAGCCAAAGTTTTGGCATTCTAGTCAGAAACCTCTAGGTATTTGTACCGATATCTGTTCCCTCTATTAGTGGTGAAAGCTGGCTCTCTGTTGTCTATAAAGACTTTATGCTCGTCTTCAGAAAGTGAGAGAGTTGGGATACCTTCGTCATCTTTCTACAGGATTACTAAGGCAGGACAACAAGACTTGCCCTTACTCTTAGACTTCTTCATGGAAGAGAATGCCACCCATTGTTAATCTTCGAGAAAATTCGGATGGACCCAAAGAATTTCACTATTAGAGGCCGTATGTGGTACAAACCCCTTCTGGTGTTGCCCATGTAGGTCATCATTAACCATCTTTATCTCCACCTTCGACACAGGCTTTGGCTGGAACCACGATAGAGGGACGGAGCCAAAACTGATGGTTACTACATTCTCACCCACTTTCTTTTCTTTTAGTTTCACAGTTATGACGCTGACTAAGGCTTGGATTTTGTCTTTAAGGACATAATACGCCTTGGTGGGATGATGGACCCTTTTGTGATACGCACAATATTTCAGATTCATGGTCCTTTTAGCTTCCTCTTGATCTATGATTGGTGGTAGCTTGATCTTGTTGTTGTCCAAGAGGTACTTTAAGATAGACTGTACTTCATCTTCCTTGAAAGAGTATTCTTTTGGGAATCTTGGTTCTAAAATTATTTGTTGCCTTTGAGGTTGTTGCGCTTGATGCTGCTATTCAAATGATGACTGCTTCAAGGACTGTTGTTGCTGTCGCAGTGACGTTTGATTTGCATCTACTTAGTTACTAGCACCTTCCCTCTACCATGAGGAACAAAATTTTCTTTCGAAGCGTTTACTGTTGGCTGGCCCCTCTCAAGCTTCTTTCTCTTGAGGAAGCGTTCGGCTTGTTCTCCGCTTACTTTCAATTCCTTCCAAGTTTTGGATGGAACCACTCCCATAGCTTCTAGTACATCCAAAGAAAGATTGCTATGATAAGTCTGGATTATAAACTCCTCTGTAACTGGGTCTTAACAATTCTTTGCCTTGTTTTGGAAGCGCTTGACGAAATTATCGATTGACTCTCCGCTCTTCTGCTTTTCGACCAGAAGAGTTCCGATTAACACTTCAATGTCATCTTCAAAGATATTGCTAAGAAATAGGCTTTTCATGTCATCCTAGTTGTTGATGCTCCCTGGCTTGAGACGTGAGTAGCAATCGAAGGCGGCCCATGAAGGGTGCCCACGAATGACCAGACTATTAATGGTTCATGTCCAGAGATCATATCCAAGAGAGACTTAAAGTATATTAAAAGCTGAGTAGGTGAGCCTCTCCCGTCAAATAGCATGAAGTTAATTAGATTGAACTTCGCTGGGTATGGAATTGACTCCCACTCTCTCGTGTATGGGCATGGAATGTCGGTCTTCTATACTTTTTGAGTAGATATCAAAGCATTGACTTTACGCTAGAGGTCTTTCATCTTCTTATCCTTGCCTATATCCTTCTTTGGGCGATGTTAAGAAGAATCAATTAGACCACCCCCAGCATTATTATTGTTGGGAGGAGGGTCAGCAAAGATATGCTCGTCCCCCTCCGTGTCGTTGTCATTTGCATTGGCTTAAACCAGTGCGGTATTGTGACGAGTGGATTCAGCCCGCTGACTAGACTCGGGTAGTTGATGTTGTTGAGCCTGCAGTTCTCTCATCTATTGTATGGTCAACTCCATCTCCATCCTCATTTCAGCTCTAATGTCTTCTTTTTGCTCTTGGCTAGAGCTTCTTGAAGCATATGAAATAATTAGTCAGAAGTGATCGTGAATGCCCCCTAGCTTGCCAATGCTAGACATCGTGTCATCTGAATCGATTGCAGAGCAAGTGTATGATAGTTCATCATCTGAGGATAGTCCTTCGTGCATTCTTTGATAGTCCCTGTGTTTGGTGGCTCTTAATTGGAGTCAACACATTCGTTGGGATATTCTTGGATTGACTCTTCCTCCTGGGCTAAAGTCAAGATGAAAATCATTTGAATGCCATTTTGACTTACCTTTATCGGCTATGTTGATGGTAACTTTTGGGAATTTATCATCTTGGATGGGTGATCTTCTCTTGCGGAAACGTCTTGGCTTGGACTTTGACGTTTTGTTAGAAAGTCTTTGAATACAGAGATCCTTTCTGGAGTGGTCCTGAAGCAGCTACATTCTTATAATACTACCCTAATGAGCCTCTTACATGAACAATGAGAGCTCGGCTTTTGAATAGTTCTCTTTCGAGATTTGTTCACACCCCCAGCCTGATAGTAAAACTCATCAGCATGATGACCGATGCACCCTATTATTTATTGGTGCGTCATCTTCAAATGATTCGAGATCACATCAAGAGTCGCTCATTTTGAACCACCACTTTGCAAGCATGAATTTTTAACGGGCTCGTGGGCTTCAACACAGAATTCTCCCAGGAGGGGAGGCCTCTTTGTCTTTATTATGCATGGTGCACAAGCAGGTACATTGAGGTGTCCCAATTTGTTTGGAGGTGGTGGGATACCTTTGCACAATAGTAGACTTAATAGGAGTCTGTATACGACCCTAGCCTGAGGAGCTACCTGGGTTTTATTTACTGGACCCAAGCGTTCCTTTACTGGTACTTTGCCTCGATCTTCTTGCAGAGGACCAAGGAGATCCACCATTATGATCTTAAACTTTAAGAGGTTAGGAGTGACCAAAAGTTTCATTGGTCGTATGGAGACTCACTTTTGGGCGAGATAGGGGAGTGCATATCGACTTTAGGCAAGACACCCTGGGCTGTATCGGTTTGTGAAACAACTTAGGCTATCTCGGTTGAAGGAGACATCACTTGCTGTCTTCAGCCTTGATTTTCGCGTAGTCTTAGACTTTTGAATACAAACTTTGTGGGACTTTGGCGCGTCATTGGCCACCTCATCCTTCTTTACTTCTTGTGCCTTTTGCACAAGAGCACGAGTGTGAGCGGCATTTGCACGACACTTCTAGATGCATTTCTTGAGAGTTGAACGAGCCCTTTTGACACAGACCCATTCATTGGTTGAATGTTTGGAGGAAACGTCAGTAACTTGATGTTGGAGTTGATGCTCCCTTGACTCCAGATCCGCATAGTAACAAACCCCATCGACTGATTCTAGGGCTTTGGTAATTTGACGAGCGAGACGTCGGCATTGCCTCTGACGATCCCTCTTCGTCAGGGTTAGTGAACTTTGATCTAACGACTCCTTAACTGGGGAGGAACCATTGTGAGCAGAGCCTCCAACATTGTTGATGGCCGGAGTAGTGTTACGAGGGGAAGCCTCAGCAATAATAGGTTGAGAGTCAACACCCGAAGCCTTCATTAGAGTTGAAGACCAGAAAACCTTATTTGAAGATGAAATCTTCCTGTACTTGCGGAGCGAGGAAGATCTTGAAGAGGAGGACGAGAGGTATTCCTCGAACTTCGCTTGGTCGAACTCATTTTTGATCATAGAATCAACTGAGATCTTAATCGGTTGCGACACTTCAGTCTTGATGTCGAGATTGGTGGCTCCCACTATGATCACCAGCGTGTTTGCGTCAGGAATGATTTTCATTGCAACTTCTATTACAATCGTTTATTGTTTATAATGGAAACAAAAGAGTGAGCTTTTTTTTATAAAACTTCCTTTTACAAAGAAAATAAAAAGAGAGGGTATTCCCTAGAAACACACGTAAAAACTATTTATTAGTCGCTGCTTGTGTGAGATCTTTGCCTGTACCAGAGACTCTTTGATCCGTGGACCGCTGATTCAATGATCCTGATTGATCGTGAAGAAGGCTTTGTGTTAATGTTTCACTTTAGAAACAAGAAGAGAAGTGGATATCTCAGCGAGGTAAGATAAACACTCTTCCCAATATCAAATCAATGTTTGAGATCAAGG